TTCCCAGTCAACTATTGCAATTGCACATCACATTGTCAGTTTTTCAAGGAATAGTCAATGCTCGTTCCACTATGTATTGAGAGTTCAGTAACTTTAAATTAAACAATATAACAATAGTCCGTTCATCGCCTATATATTGTAAATTTTTCGATACATCTCTAAAATCAGTATTATGCAATAAAGATTGAAAATAAAAATTAGAATTTGACCAATCAAGACAAAAAAAAAAGCCAGATTTTCATTTTCAAACAGACGACTACTTCATTAAGAGCTGTCAAAAACTATTCCTATATCGCAACACAGAGTGTCACAGATTAACTATAAGCTATAATGGTTGTTTAATATAATGTCTGATATTTTCCGGTGATTAATATGACGGCACGCTCGATTTTACAAGGTAAGCGTATATATATTTTATTTTTATGTTATTATAATATTTAATTATATAAATATATTAATCAAAGAGAAGAGGCGTTTCTCTTGTGATAGAAATATAAGAAATATGTATTAATAATGTACATAATGCATATGTTTGGATGTGTGTATTTGTGTATAATGCTAATAATATACATACATATGTTAATTTGCTTACAATTAGACATATTGTTAATAAAATATGTATAATTTCCTATTTTTTTACATTTCCAGTTTTTGATCAGTATCAAAAGGCGCGATTACTCTTTGTACAATCTGTAGCGGATTTATCCTCGAAACCTAATAATATCGATTGCTTAGAAGCGGCAGGTGTGATAGATCTATTGCGTCCTTTATTACTGGATGCTGTACCATCTATTCAACATATGGCAGCATTCGCTTTCGGCAAGTTAGCGAATCATAATTCCAGACTAGCACATGCTGTTGTTAGAAGAGATATATTGTCACAGTTGCTGAAGAACATAGACAAACAAAATGTATGAGCTTCTTAAATGTAAGCATTTTAATTGTGATAGAGCACAAAAAAATATAAACTTTTAATATTTTATATTTTTTATTCTAAAAAATTTTATACATAATTTAAAGTCTTTTTTCTTTATGTATATATCACAAAAATATTAAACATAAAGTTAAGGAAATTATATATTGTATATCACACAGAAATTTTACAAGAAAGCAGCACTCTTTGTGTTGCGGGCGATAGCAAAACATTCACCAGAGTTGGCATTAATAGTAGTGGACAATGATGGTTTGCAGACTATAGTTGAATGTTTGGAAGATTTTGATCCCCAAGTGAAGGAAGCGGCTGCTTGGGCACTAGGATATATCGCAAGACACAACAAGAGTTTGGCTCAAACAGCAATAGAAGCTGGTAAAATTATTTTGGCTAATGTTTTCTATAAACATATATAAAACTGTTTAGTTTAATATTTTGCTATATTTGGAATTTTGTCTAGGCGCAGTGTCACTTCTTGTACTGTGTTTACAAGAACCCGAATTGTATATTAAACAAATCGGCGCGTCGGCTATTAGTGACATAAGTAAACACAGTACTGAACTCGCACAAGCGGTAGTGGACACAGGTGCAATCGCCTTCCTCGCGAAAACCTTGACTAATCCTGATGCCAAAGCAAAAGTGAGTTGATACACTATACATTAAACAATCTTTGAAATGTTATTACACTTGAAAATTTTTAATGTCTACAGCGTCAGGTATTGTTAGCATTGAGCAATATAGCCAAACATTCTGTGGAATTAGCAGAGGCTGTGATCGAAGCAGAAATCTTTCCTGATGTTTTAATGCACATGGCGCATCCGGATGAGAATGTCGGTAGAGTTGCTGCAATTTTAACCAGAGAAATCTGCAAACACACGTTGGAGGTAAGCAGATGATATTAGCTTTTTAATAACAATTTATTTTTTATTTTACTCTTAATGTGTATTTTCTTTTAGTTGGCACAACTTACAGCAAACATTGGAGGTATCGCTGCACTTATCGAATTAATTAACATCTCCAAATCGACGACTAGACTGCCCGCGATCATGGCACTTGGTTATATCGCTGGTCACTCTGATCAATTGGCTGTAGCTGTAATAGGATCTAAAGTATTGATCGATGAAAAGTAACATTTGTTTCTTTCATCTAATGTAACACTCTAGAATAATTACTTTGTATCGCAGGGTATCGTACAATTGGCGATTGTCTTGCAAGAAGAAACAGAAGATCATATCCTTGCGGTGACCGTATGGGCGATTGGACAAATCGGCAAGCATACAGCCGAACATGCAAAAGCAGTTGCAGTCGCGAATATACTATCCAGATTACTGAAGGTATTTAAGAATGTTAAGTTACTCTCTGCCAGAATTAGCTCTGTTAAAATTGGATAATTTGTTAAATCTTTTTTAATTCAATCTTAACAGCTGTATAGCGATCCGAAAAGTTCCGAAGATCTCAGGGCAAAATGTAACACAACATTAAAGCAAGTTCTGCAAAAATGCATGTACATCGAAGCTCTTGAACCTTTATTACATGACGTACCTCTTAATATCTTGAAATATGTACTGGGACAATTCAGCAAGGTAAGACTGTAATTTAATTGAAAGCTAATGGTGAACATTTGATGACGGTAATAATATGATTAAAGAAATGATGGCAAAACTAAAATTTTTTTATTAAACATAATATAAATACTTTATTATGTGTTTCACATACACATCTGATTTCTTGTGTGATACGTTCTAATAATACATTATATAAAGTGATAATAAAAACTTTTCTCACTCAGCACACACAATAATGCATTTAGAACATAATTGTCTGTTAACAAAATCATGTAAAATTTTAACAATTGAACAAACAAAATATCTGTCGCTTCTTCTTTTACATCGGTCTTCAATAAAAATCCTATTTCGTAATTAACGTTACGTATGTCTACGTTACGCGATGTTTAAATACATGCGCAAACAATCTGATAAAGCTGCCAGCATATAAATTTTCGCCCTACTGCTGCTTAAAAGGCGCGCCAATATGTTTTTTTTTAAATTCATAAAAACTATTACGACATAAAAAATACAGTTTTCAAGTATATCTTATAGTTTCAAATAAATCTCTAAACACTATCGCAATACATAAGCAATAATATTTAATAGCAATATCACGCAAATGACTTGTATATTCTACAGATCTTTTGACCGATCTGTAAATCAATCAATAACAATTTTATATCGCCCGCCCGATTATTTTGAAGGCAAGATAAATCTTTTTGGTCGGATCGTACACGTTGTCTAGATACAAAATATAATTGTAATGTATCACGGTTAGAAAATATGCTTTGTATCATTGTATACGCCCAATGTTAAATCTACAGCAATCCAGAAATTGACAAATACAAAGAAAGTGCTTTCTTCCTTTTCTTTGTCTTTATCTCCCTCTTTCTCTTCCTCTAAAATAGCACATGGCACATTTAATTTTCCAAAAGAGCACATTTTTCAGTCTTACGACAACGAGTGATTCGGCTAAGTACAGAGACACATATTTATCTTATTTGGTAGATATTTATTTAAAACTTGTCGTTTAAGTATGTTTTAGGAAATTGTTAAATGCATGATTGTTTTCCGAGTTGCTCACTAATTCACGTCTACCGTACCGTAGTTTTATTTTCTAATGGCAGTATTTGTATATATGACAGTATAGTATAAAGATGCGGATCATACAAAAAGGTATATACGACAAAGAGCGATTGAGTTAGTAATAAATTTCAATAATTACTCGATTAACCGATAAAACTAGAAAAGATGTCAAAGTATCAAGTAATAAGGCATTGATTTGATATATTCGCATTAATCTATAACTATTATACAAATCTTATATTGTTATATATGCTCTCAATTTGTGTGTGTGTGTATGTGCGCGCGCGCGCTTCATAAATATTAAGCTCGTTAATAATAACACAGACAATAATTGCAGTATACATTAAAGTATTGAACGATTTCATGGGCCAACTTAGATAATATCGGCAACATTAAAATATGATACATCGTTTTTGATAATTTTTTTTTAATTATATAAAAAGATTTGATATATTGTGAAAGCATGACGAGTTTAGTATCATTTTTTAAATATCATAAAAAATTTTAACATTGCATTTTAACATGAGACAATATATAATGAAACGTACATTACAAAATAAAAGTACATAATATGCGTGGTAAAATACAGAAAAAAAAACGATATTACCAATATTTTTGTGTCTCAAATCTTAGATCAATTAAGGCGTATACTCGGTTCAAAGCGTGCAATCTGTCGAAATATTTCTGTAAAACAAAAAAAAATTATTTAACATTATTTCATATTGATGAATGCTAAAAGCGAACATAAACTGCAGAACATGTTGAGAAATATTATATATACATACATATATATA